TAAATTACGGAGATAATCCGGTGTTAAATCGTTAAGAATTTTGAACATTATTACAGCCTTGTGTTTTTTCCGGCGTGTCGAAAGATTGTCCCAACCTAGTTTAGTGAAAAGGTCGCTGGAATTTGCATCGTATCCAGATTTGGTAATTACCCTCGCTGCTCTATTTTGCAGTTTTTGCAATTTATCATTTAACGTGATATTTAAACCATCCCAAACTGAGCTACAATAATCAAAATACGGTTGAATCAAAGCTCCGTAAATTTTGAGGGCAGTGCTTGTATCTATGAACTGGCGTATCCTTTTAAGAGCACCAATTGCCGACGCAACCTTTTTGGAAATGCCTTCAACGTGTCGCGCCCATACTAGGTGCTCATCAATTTGTAATCCTAATGATTTCGTATCTTTAACTCTCTTGATTATCTTCCCGTCAATTTCAATGTTTATTTGTTCATTATTGTGTATCATTAACCGTTGACGAGATCCAATTATCATAAATTCCGTTATCACAATTAGGCAAATCGTTAATGTAAATTAAAAACAATAGTGGCCCCAAGTTGCTACCTTGAGGCACACCACAACTTATTTTAACAGCCTCAGATAGTTCACCATTTACGCAACATCTTTTGCCACGGTTGCTTAGATATTATTCAAAGAGTTTGATGCCGCTTTGGTCAACACCATATATTCTTAGCTTCCGTAAGAGAATGGTGTGATCAATGGTATCAAATGCTTTTTTGAGGTCGATAAAGACCACTCCATTGAGTAAGCCATTATCTATGTTGATTGACCATTTGTCCGTTGCTTCTAATAAGGCAGTTAATGTACTGTGCAATGATCGAAAACCGGATTGAATTTTGGATATCAAATTATTAGCATTTAAATACTCATATAGCTGTTCAAAAATCAGTTTTTCAAAAATCTTAGCAACACATGAAATTACGGATATTGGTCGATAGTTGTCCATATCATCTTTTCTACCTTTCTTAAAAATCGGCGTAACTCTTGCTAACTTCCATTCCGTTGGGAATATGCCAGTAGTTATAATCTTATCAAATATTAGAGTTAATGATGGGGCAACGATTTCAGCTGCAAGTTTTAAAAGTTTGCAGGGTATTTTATCCAGACCTGATGCTTTCTTTTCGTTAATCGTTCTTAATTTACTACAAACTGTATTTATTGTGGGGGGTACGTGTCAATGAGAATGTGGTTTCAGTTGGCTCAATATAAACCTCCGGTTCCACAGCAGATGGTGGTATATCGGATGCTAAATTCTCATCTACTTTTGCAAAGTGAGAATTAAACATTTCGGCTATGTCCTTAGGCGCATTTATTGTTTCTTCGCCAATTGTAATATTAGATATGGTCTTATGACTAGAATTATTACGAAAGCTTAATTCATTAATAAGTTTCCAAGTTGACTTTGGATTGTTCTGGTTGGTCTCAAGGTTATCAGTAAAATATTGACTTTTCACTTTTTTAATTTCATTATTCGTAGAGTTCCTTAATGATTTATATTGTTGCCAAATCAATGTGTCCCCAGTCATTTTTGCTTTCTTTTTCAAAAAATCTCTCTGGCGCATTTTTTGTTTTAATTGATTAGTTATCCAAGGGGATTTCTTTTTCCCAATTCTTTTTAATCTGAGTGGAGCATGTTTATCAATGCAATTAAGTAACATCCCTTTCCATCTTACCCACATTTCATTAGGTTCATTGCACAAATTTACTTCTAACCATTGCTGTTGTTTTAAATCTCCTATAAAGTTTTCTCTATGAAAATTTTTCATACTCCTTATTTCAACTAATCGCGCTTCCGCTTTCTTATAATGAACCTTATGTGTCATATAAACTAAAACATGATCACTTATGGAAAGATCAATTATACCTGAATTTATGATCTTTGTTAGGGCATTTGTAACGCAAAGATCAATTAGCGTTGAGGAATATGGTGTAGTTCTAGTGGGTTCTTTAATTAGTTGTGTGAGGCCAAAAATTTCAAATATATCATTTAATTTATTAGCATTGGCTGATGTTGCTCCCGGCATAAGGTCCACATTTATGTCACCTAATAGAAAGTAGTCATGATTCGTCAAATCTACCTTCTGTATTATTTTCTCAAAATAATCAAAGTAATACGTTGGCAGATCTGGAGGTCGATACCAAGTGCTAATTAAAAGAGATTTAGACCGAGGCTTAGTTATTTCAACTGTTAAATATTCTAAATCGTCAGAGCTTAAATCATCGAAAATTTTGTAATTAAGGTTGCATCTTACATAGAAACAAACACCACCCCCATGTCTCCCATTTGTTCTCCTATCTTTCCTTACTATTTCATAGCCGAGTATATGGACTTCGTTATCTCCAATTAAAGAATCAAGCTTTGTTTCGTTAATTGAGATAACATCAATATTAGATTCATTCATAAATATTCGAAATTCATCAATATGCGCAAAAAGGCTATTAATATTTAGTGAGGCCATAACTAGACCTTTGCCAAATGGTTTATAATTAATATTAGTACACTTACGATTTACACTCGGTAGCACAGATTCAGACTCCCGCACAGCAGATTGGTCGTCCACACTACCTATTATTGACGTGTTCGCCAGATCATTGTTATTTGTGGCATAAGTACTCTTTTCCGCGTCATATAACGATTTGTCTAACGATGAATTCTTTTCCTTGGCGTCTGTGGTATGATCATCCTCAGAAGCTCCCCCAGATGATGAAGTTCCTTCGAAAAATCCTCAACAGTTGGATGTGAAAGTCGCCGAAGAAATTTGATAAAATGGACAGCCAGGAGCGCTGATCCCTTTGTATTAAGGTGTAACTTAGAGCCATTGAGGCAGGATTCGTCTATGTTCTTATTTGCGATGAATGTATATCCTTTTTTCTTGCATAGATTGTGTAGTAATTTATTGGTTTCATGAATCTTTGTTGCTACGTCAATATCTCCTCTCGATACGCTTTCAGATGTATCTTTACTACAGCTCTTTACTTTGGTATAATCCCGTTTCTGTGTTTTGTTTCCATCTTTGAGGTCTTCTTGTAGGGATCTTGCAGCTGCTCTTAAACTATCGTTCTCAGTTTCCAGTTCTTTAATTCTCTCCCTCTCCGCCGGTAGAACTTTTTCACGTTGGACCAGCTTCAGTGAGGTCATCAGACTCGATATCTCTTCCTGGAGGTCCAGAACTTTAGCTCTAGCTTCGGACAGAGATTGGAACAAGTTCCTATTTTTCTCTTTTAGCTCGTTATTTTCCCGGTTAAGTTGCAGTTTTTCCTTCCTTAACTCGTTAACAACGTCCTCTAAGACCAGGATTGCATATGCTTTGTTCTCTTTAGTTTCTTTAATTGTTAAAATTTCATCAGCAAGAGCCTCTAGCTTTTGAGTAACACTCTGGGTATATTTCTCTAGCTTAGATTCAATTTCGTAAACTTCATTTGGGTTTTTGTTGAAGTTTGTACTATTTAAATTACTTGTGTAGTTTTGATCATTTAGCTGTATCTTATCAGTGTTCAGGTTACAGTCTCATGAGTTTGTATGCAAATTACTGTCTGTTGACTCCGAGATGAAATGCAAATTCCCGATCTTTGAGCTTTGATGTTTTACAATGGCTTCGCCGCCTGTTTGTGATTCGAGTAATTCGCAATCGCTTTCCACAGTCTCTCTCGTTTCGGTCAAGGGTTCACCGTCCGCTATGTGTTCAGATGCTGTCTTATTAGTTAGATATATGTCTTTGACTAGGTCTTTGATTTTCAGAGAGGCTTCGCCTTCGAATGACAATACTGACGATTTCTTCGAGTATTTTATTGTTATTTCATCGCTGTTAAAGAGCTTAGTTGATCCACCAGGTGATGTCCAGTTGCCTCTTAAGCCCAAGCGTAGCTCGGTAAAAGCTTTCAGATCTTCGAAGGAGCCATTCCATTTGATTTTTGATCCCTCGACTACGAGTTGATTGTTGATAGTAGGTTGAGTCGAAGATTCGCTTTGATTTATACACGCCATGGTGTAGGCAAATTAAAACCGTAATATGTACTAAGCCAATTGTAGTTAGAAATTTTTAACAGCAGCAATTACTTGGCGAATGAACGGCAACGGCGTAATCATGAATGTATTAGTAGTTCTAGACGAGATAGGCGCGTATCAATATGAAAACATTTGTTAGCACTTAATTTGAAAAACCACGCGTCAGGTTTATATTTGTATGGAACGAATCATAGAAGGGAAACCGGGACATTGCACCTGATTGAACTCTATAGCACGAACATGCAAGTGAACTGATCCAGCGTTCAGACTAAGTTCGGATTATTTAAAACAATACTTTAGCAAGCCTAATAACAGTGGATCTCACGAGAATGACGGATGGATTTTTGTTAAAAGTTAATGTCTTCAATCTGAAAAACTAAGAAATTGACATTAGTTAAAGGCTATACTTTTAAGGCCTCCTTGGCTATAAACATTTTAATTTGCATTTTGCTTTTCTACTGCTGTTATTCAGGAGTCTGGGAGAAAGTTTCTGATTTTGTAAACATTTTGATAAATTTTCCCTTATTCTCATGGAATCAATGTAAGCGTTTCTATTTAGAATATGTCAAGATCGTCAGATAAACGTTTGCGCTTTTCGCCTGCTCGAAATAGGAGTGTATCCTTTTTTTTTCAAGAATACATCGTGAAAAATTTGATCGGATACATCATGAAAAATTTGATATTGTTTACACGGACTCACCCCTCTTTAATTTTTGGTACTCTCTTTTTTGGGACTGAGTGTATAATTTTAAGAATTAAAAAGTACTATAATGCCCGATAGGCGAATGTGGGGAGAATACGAGAGAAGCTTGTAAAACACAAGGCGTAGCCGAGTGTTTTACAAGCTTCTCGAGAATTCTTTCAACATTCCCCCGAGTGCATTATTACACAATAAAGGCAGGAGACCAGTCGGGTCGAATGTCTGGTGTTTTTCTTTTCAAGTTAGACAATTTATCGATGTATTTTGATCATTTAGGACTGGCGAAACCATCATGAGCAAATGCAGCAACACAGTGAAGGGATTAAAGGAACATTGACTGAGACGAAGGTGATGTTGTCGTGTTAACATTTTTATAATAATGACAAACATTTTTTTAACCAGTTGACCCTTTCAGCTGAAACAGCCGTTTTAAAAAGTGCTACTAGCTTTATATCTAACCTGCATTTGCAGGAGTAAAACCTATGTGTCCCATGTATTAACTGGCACAGGATAATTTTTTCTACCATTCCTTTTACGTGCAGCATAGTCAGACACCGGGCGAAGTGAGTAAGACGCTTTGCCTATTTTACATAATTAAAACTAATTTTTCACATACAAGTTATGACGTTCCATTTCCCATCGTATGTATCAGTAGTGTTTCATCATGATTCCTCCTTCACTTTTTCTCAAAAAACGAGAGTGTCTTCTTAGAGGTTCTTTGCACGTTGCCCAACCACGGTAGGTCCTAGTCAGTCAACTCAACTCTTAGCCCCCCCCCCTGGATTTTTTTTTAAAAAAATACGCAAATAACGCGATAATTAAAAAAATATTTTAGGGTTTTACCCTCAGCAAAAAAATGATAGATTGGCTTATTTTATTGTTTCATTGTTCTATTGTATTGACTATTGTCCTCCAAAATTTATGAATATATATATGCAAAACCTTTATTATTATTGTTTTTATTCCCCTCGCTTTCTGACAAAATTTCCAGGACTGACTCTAAACACACAGTCTAGGCTCTACCGGAACTTTTAGAATTGTATTTCGTTTAGCCTAGGTAAAATACCGAGAGTTTTTGTGAGACAACTCGTATAGAAGTTTTTTTATTAATAGTTTAACAACCAAACTGATATTATTGCACCAATTTTAATTAACCTAGTTCAGCACCTAGGCAAACATATTTAAAATTTCAAAGCTACATTAAAGCAATTCCATCATGTTACTACGTTAAAATTTAGTTAGATCCTAATGTTATCCAAATTAGGAGAGTTTGTTTTGTAGTGTACCTTCTTAACTATAGGCTGAAAAAAAATCGATGAAGATTGTTGAAACGGCTATAAAATATTGCTATATAACATTATTTGTACTAATACTGTGCGATGTTACTAATTCCGCTCGGATATTTACACCCACGATGGGCACGATGTGCAAATGCGAAATCAAAGTCGTCCGCCATTATGCAATGGACCTCACGCCATGGACGGTCTTCTACCTTAAGGCGATTCTCCATTACGTCCGCTCCGCCCGCGCGGACGAAGCGTGCTTTGTTTTTCAGGCCGGTCACGGTCGCATGGACAGAATTTCAAAAGCCGCTTCGCCCGCGCGGGTGAAGCGGACGTTAATGGAGAATCGCCTTTATGCACATCCGCCAGAGTGAACTTCTAAGCTCTTGATTGGTCGAGACAAAATTTTGTATTTTCAAACATCAATGCATAACTGTCATTTTGCAAAATTTTAATGAAATTTATAAATTTATATTTTCATAAATAGACCAAATTTTTGACCGAATTCACCGTGTATAATGAAGTCGGAAGATTTTACACTTGATAATATTTCACCCGGCACAGCTTTAAAAAGTAATTCTTTTGCGATAAACACAACTTTACTATTCTCCAACGTATTTCACTATAAATCTGAATGGGCTATGTGATATACGACATCATACTTTGATTTATAAACTCCGGTTTCATAAATGACAAAAAGAAAAAGAAAATCAAAATATTCACGTGCAAAAACCGGTCGAAGCGTATAAACATAAAACTTTGGAATTTGTATGAGACGTCTGATGTTATATTTTATGGTCCTATTTTTGCCATTTTTTTACAAAATTATGAGGGTAAATTTTGATCACTGAGAAAGGAGTGCTCGCCATCATCAAGTGAAGCCAAAAACATGGCGGATTTTGAGCTTAGCTTACACCACATGGTCCTAAATGGCCTGGATAGTTACCGCTGACATAACGCGATCCAAAGACAAAAATTGAGTCATCTCCTTCCTGGTTTCTGATAAAAAATACTTTTGGTTTTCGGTGAATAATTTTTTCCTAATTTTTCGTTAAATAATAAATTAAAATTGTTTTTTCGTTTCCCGGCTTTCGCTGTTTTACAAATTAAGCGAAGATGTGGTCTCTTGATCTACTTGTGATGTTTTAAATGTTTTATCGGAAGAGAATCAGGTAATGTTTTTGAAATATTTTCTGGACTTTCTAGACTTTAGTATGTAACTAGTAGCTAAGTCTATCAAAACTTATGTTTTGAAATGCAAAAATGTTTACCAACAAAATATTTAGATTTCATTATAATTATTAATTCTAATTATTAATATTAATTATAATTATTAATAATATAAAAGTTTTATTACTATGTTACAGTGAAGTAGTTTTATATGTCAGCCTTTTTGGTAATATCTCATAATGCGATTCTTTCAAATAGCCGAACTTTTAGTAGAATACAATTTATAACTTTGTGGGTATGTGGCAGACTGTATATTTTTAGCTGAACAAGATATTCTAGTCACTTTATATTGGTTTATTCTGCCTGACCGGACATTGTTCAGGTTCTGATATAAAAAAAAACATTTAACAATCACTGGGGTGGCTGTTAAAGCCTAATATTTTCTTTGACAAGTTTTATCATAGTTTAATAGTTTTAATTTCTGTACCTTGTACTCACTTTGTAACTATATTAATAAAGGGTGAACTAAATTGAGTACAGTGAGACTTATCAGATTCCTGTTATTTTGCAGGAATAAGATGCCAATTGGAAAAAAGCAAGAGATGGCTTGCATCCTTTCATTCCTTTGTTTTGAAATATTGAATTAGAGCAAAATGCAATGTAATCGTACACACGAGCTGCTCATTGATTATCGATTATGCCATATTGACTTGATTTTAACCTTTTTTCTTACAGTTTAATAGTGATTCGAATAAATTAATACAAACATTGACTGAGCTTCATGCTTCTAAATAACAACCTTTCTTAATTTCCTAAACCATTCCGCCAAGAGGGCTAGTTAATGGGGATAATTCAGGATTTATAGAGAGTGAATAAGTCCCGTTAAATTGTGAAAGTTTTTTTGAAACATGAAATCATTGTAACTGCAGTATTAAAAAGAAAACCTACACCAGTTGGTAACATAGCAGCTATAATTTTTGAAATACAATTCTCAATATCTACTATATAAACATTGTCATAATGGACAATGGTTGAGATCTAAGGGCCTCCACAGACTAGGGATTTAGTTGTCGACAACTATTTGTGATCTACAACTATGTAAAATTATCGACAACTAAATAAGTCCGATAAAGGATTCAACACACTAGCGCTCAAATACTGATTTAGCAAACGAAATAGCGCGGAGATTAAAAGTATAGTCGACAACTGAAACAAAAGTTTTTACACACTAGAAAAACGCCAAAAAATAAGGCCGTTAACAACTATTAGTTATCGATAACTACGCAGTTTCCCTTTTCGAAAAGGGAAACTGCTGAGTTGTCGACAACTAATAATTTAGAGTTTAGTTGCCGACATTTTGCGCGACAGACTACGTTTCTTAGTTGTCGATAACTTTTAGTTGTCGATCACAAATAGTTGTCGACAACTAAAACCCTAGTCTGCATGTGGAGGCCCTCACTGAAAAGCTTAGCTCCGTTCGAATTCAAATCGCCAGTGATTACTTTTATGGTTTGATGGCTTGATTTGCCTGACGCATATCTACACAAACTCGGAATTGTCCAGGAGCCTTTGGCTCTGGTGCGACGATAGGCGACACCCATGGTGTGGGACCAATTCATTCGATGACTCCAAGTTCCCCGTCATGCTTTAGCTGCTCCTCTAACTGTTGACGTACGTGGAAGGGGACCCTTCGGTGAGATTGGGCTACGGGTTGAACCCTTTCGTCAATATGGAGTTTGATCTGGTTATCCTTTCATCTTCGCCGGGGTTTCAGTATTTAGCTGTGTTTCGAATATTTCATTCACGCTTTCCCCAGCATAAAGCAGCAAAAGAGCTCTTTGTCTTTTGGCATAGTCCACAGCTAGTGCCAGCATTTTTGAAGCGAGTAAGCCATTTTTTCCAGCGAGTAGCGACTGCCCCGTCTGAGTGAACATCAAATTCAACGAAATGGGGTAAAGCTACTGCTATAGCATTCGGTTTTTCGATTTATTGTTTACCTTGTTGCTTTTATGTACTGATCATGTTAGTGTAGGTACTTCCGTTCTCGTCGCCAGTGTGGTATTTTATATCGGCTTATTTTGCACGTCTATTACTTGTTACGCTTTTTACCAAAAGACGCTAAAACCCCCGTGGTCATCCGGGTTTCTCGTCCGATAAACCACGTGATTACAATACTACAGTTATCATCCATTTTAGTATTCCTTACACAGTATTATGTATTTTTAGGCCTATTTGGACAAGTTGCAATTAGAAATCAGCAAGACCCTTGAGAAAATTAGCAGCAGAGAGAAATATATTAACAACCAGGTTTGTGTGACGTTTTTGAAGTATTTGTTCTATTTAGTTCTGGTGTTAAACTGTTGAGCTTTATTAAATAAAGTAGGTCGATTGTTTTTATTCATGCGGAAAACAAATAGTTATAAGAGTGATTAAGTGCGCATCACCCATTTTTTAAATTTAAGAAATTAAGAACTCATCCCTTCAAAAGAATATAAAAGTCACTAAACGTCGAATGTATTATGAAAATTCAAATATACACTTTATAAAACCCTCTTGAAGTTAAAGTGAATGATTCAACATGGAGGTTGTCACGTTTTCTCTGTTGATATTTATATGACTTCACGTATAATTCGTACAGATTACATTTTAATGTAGATATAAAAGAAGATACAAAAATAATATTAAAGTTGTGTCCATTGCACCAACAACCATGAGAAGTATTGCTTACTTCATCTAACTATAATTATGTGTCCATTATCTCTAACACTCCCACTTAATATGTACTATAATTATACAGTTTTCTTATGAAACGTTAGCAACCGGGGTAATGAACTGCCAGAGTCAATATTGGCCGCTGTCATGTACCTAGATACCAACCGTACTGGGCAATACTGCGTTGATGATCGTGCAATATAAACAATATTACCTTCTCTATAAACATCAGATTTTCTCGCAAAATTGAATTTGGCTTGGTTGAATAGCACTTAGCTCATCAAAACGAAAGAAACCGGAGAAACCCAATGCACACAGAGTAGCAGTACGCAACTTTTACCACTGGCCTGCACCGCAACTGACATAGGAATAACAACACAAGGACTTTCTGCGGTGTGCACGCCCGGATTGATGCAGTTCTGACATGGCTTCATCGAAAAACGACTTATGACTATGCGCAGACTTATTATTATGAAAAAACTTTTGTTGAGGCTAATGCATGAAGGGTAAATCTGTAACCTTCCTCAATCACGCTCAGAATGAACCACGAGGCTCCAATTTCACGCCAGAAACTTACGTGCTTGCGAAGGTTTCCTTTGGGATTCATTGCAATCTGGCACTCATTAATACATTCACTCTCAAACTCGTACTTCAGCACACAAGCGTTATTTAGCTACCTCGATTGTAGCTACCTCGATTTAGCTACCATTCCTACACCCGTCCGCACTCCTGTGCCCGCCACCACCGTCGATGATGTTTCCAACAGCACCTCCAACACACTAAGACAAAACAATCAGGATTCCTTAATTCATCCGCTTAGTTTACCGTCGAATAATCAATGTGAATATAAACCTAGAGTACCAAAAATATGTGTATCAAACGTGAGATCCTTAGCACCTAAAATAGATGAAGTATCCGAGTTTATACCATACCACCATTGACTTAGCATTTATCACTGAGACTTGGCTGAAGGAATCAATTGATGACAGTGTCATTAGTATTCCAGGATACACTGTTTTTCGTAAAGACAGAAAGACAGATGACCATGGGGGCGTATGCATTTACGTAAATAATGAATTAAATAATTATAAACTTCTTGAGAATCTCAATTGCTGTGATTTTCACGAACTTTTGTGGCTCAGTATCAGACCGCATAGACTCCCTCAAGTTGTTTCAAGTATAGTTGTCGGCGTTTTGTATCACCCACCAGGAGGAGATAGTAAAACAATTTGTGACCATTTGTTCGAAACACTTACCTTAATCGAATCAAAATATCCTAATAGTGGCATATTATTGGCTGGTGACTTCAATCGTTTAAAAATTAACAGATTATTAAACCATTTCCACCTGAAACAATTAGTCAAAGCACCGACGAGAAATAATGCTTTTTTAGACCTGGTGTTAACCAACTTGCACGAACATTACCTTTCACCAGATATCCTATCCCCTTTTGGCCTTTCTGACCACAACACTATAATTGTCCGTTCATGTGTCAAAAGTCCCAAACTAAATAAGAAGATTGTTATGACCAAACGAGACTATCGTCAATCCCGCAGAGCTGAATTTGGTAGATATTTAAGTTCTATAAATTGGCAATCAATCATTTCCAATCAGATCAACTGTGAAGAAATGTGGAATACATTTTACAACCTGGTTTTTACCGGCCTTGAATTTTCGATGCAAGTGAAGAAATCCAAGTCTCCACCACAGATGCACCATGGATGAACAATAAATTGAAATCGCTCATTAAGAAAAGACAACAGGCCTTTGCTACTCATGGAATTAAATCGGCAACATTTAAAAAGTACAGGAATTTAGTTAACAGGGAGCGAAAGTTATGTAGAGCGAAGTATTATCAGCTAAATATTCATAGGTTGAAAGATAAAAACCCGAAGAAATGGTGGTCTGAAATTAAACGTATCTCCAATCTTGCAACCAAACGGAAACCGATAAGTTTAGCCAATGTTGAAACGTTTTCTAACCTTACACCAAGAGATCAAGCAAATTAAATTAACAAAACATTTCTAGAACCTCTCGAGGAATACAGAGTAGAATGTCCGTTACCAAAATTTCCGTTGGAAGAAATGGCAACCTTTCTAAACGTATCAGAAATGAGAGTGCAAAAAGCTTTATCGAAACTCCCAACAAATAGAGCATGTGGACCCGATAAGTTACCAAATTGGGTATTAAAGGACTATTCATATATCCTAGCCCTCCCAATCTCAATTATCCTCAACACCTCATACCGAGAGCAACGTGTACCTACCACTTGGAAAATGGCCAATATTACACCTTTGCCAAAGGCAAAAATTGTAAAAGATCCAAAGAAAGATTTAAGACCTATCTCACTTACCGCCAGTATCTCTAAAGTCGCTGAGGAATTTATTGTCGTTGATTATGTGAAACCAGCAATCTTGAAAGTCATCGACCCAAATCAGTAAGGTGCAGTTTCTAAAAGTTCCACTACTCTTGCATTAATCAGCATGATCCATCGTTGGACCACCATGACTGACGGTAATGGCGCCGTTGTAAGAACAATCCTCTTCGATTACCGGAAAGCATTTGATCTTATTGATCATTTAATTTTCATCCAAAAACTATCAGAGTTAGAATTACCATATAGCGTCATCAATTGGATATCAGACTTTCTGACAAACAGATATCAGCGAGTAAAGTTAGCAGATAACTGTTATTCAGAATGGGGCCCAGTTCCGTCTGGCGTGCCCCAAGGAACTAAATTAGGTCCTTGGTTATTCATTTTGCTCATAAATGACCAAACAGCAACTCAAGCAGATCTTTGGAAATACATTGAAAATACATATGGAAATACATATGGAAATACATACGAAGGATTCCATCAGTAACGCCCAAAATATTACAGATAATGTGGTTACGTGGTCCAATGCAAATAGAATGCAACTTAATCCGGAAAAATGTAAGGAACTACGAATGTCGTTTAATGCTGTGCCGAGACCTTTCGATTCAATTGTAATCAATGGAAAAGAGTTAGAAGTTGTTAACAAAATTAAACTCTTGGGTCTTACCATTAATAATACTTTAACATGGAAACCTCACATAGACGAAGTCGTCAAAAAGGTTAATAAAAGACTCTATTTTCTCAAGCAACTTAAACGCGCAAGTATTCCGTGTAAAGAACTGGCCGCCTTCTATACAGGGTGTATCAAAAAAAAGTTTACAGTTAGAAAAACGTCGCTAAATTAATCAGCGCGCAATGCTTGGTAAAACCTTTGGTGGAAATAAGTTGTTTGACGCCCATTGGTTTATCTGACAGCAGAAATGTCTCAAAAAAGAACCATTTGTAGAGTGAGAATTTTGTTAGCAAAAAGCACTTTTGAATGAGCTTGCGCCGAAAAATGACACGTTTAAAATGCAATCTGATTACATGGGGGGGGAAATATGGAACATGTTGTTTTAACTAACAAAGTTTCAAAGCATTTGATCAATACCAACGCGAACGCACAGCCGCCAAATCTTGGATTATTTACTCTTTTTCGTTTTAAAATGTCATTTTTAAAGCCTCATTAATTATGCATTGTCATGTCTTTGCACGCTAAGATTTTTGCATAAATTAGAACACGGATTTCCCCAAGGGACTTTACGCTTTCAAGCGTTGTTTAAGCTTTTTAACGTATAAAGCGTTTATTTGAACATTGTTTCGAACATTTGATGTTAGATATTATTAACAATATTTATTTACAATGGTGTTTATTTACAAAAATTACATTGTTCTGTTTAACTCTTCAACGTGACCGCCATTTCGTTCCAAACATAAACCAGCCCTACCAGTCATGCTATTAACAGCACGACGAACCATGGTTCTGTCCTGCCTTAGAATATCCATTTCGTTACGGATTCTCATCTCGAGGTCGTCCAGATTAGCCGGCGGTGTAACATAAACTTTAGACTTGAGGTAACCCCAGAGAAAAAAATCTAACGGAGTTAAATCTGGGGATCTCGGTGGCCATTCAACTGCATGGTTTAATGCAACAATTCGTTCTCCAAATAATTGTTGCAAGCGCTCTGAAACAATAATTCTCCTATGAGGTGGTGCGCCGTCTTGAATCCACCAAAGACGCCCAAATCGGCCGTTTCTGTTGGGCCCAAAACGCCGCATTCTGCGTAATGCTGGAATCACTTCTTCGTTCAGCATCTCCAGATAACCCTCACCGTCCAAATTCTGTCGAAAAAAGAATGGACCAATAATGCTGCCGTTACCCATTAAGCCAACCCATACTGTCAGTTTATGGCGATCATTGCTTCGCTGGTAGTCGAAGTCTAAAGGCTTTTGACCGCGTGGTTGGTATTCTCTCACATTGTGGGTATTCACAGTGGCATTCATCATGAACATTTGTGTAACAAGCTATTTAATTCCGCTGTGTTGGATCCAAACAATAAAATTCACAACTTGTTGCCAGAAAGGAACAAATCTAATTATAATCTAAGACATAAAAGAACCTTCGATATTCCAATGAGCCACACAAATAGGGTATCAAACTCTTTTATATATGCTATGAGTAATAAGGTCAACAAAAGTTAACCTATCTGTTCGATTTTAATTTTAAAGAAATTATTTTATTATCTTATATATTAAAAATTTTAATGGTTCTTAGTAATAATTATAGCCTTAATTTTAATGATAGAATAATTTTAACTGTAAAAATTACGTAATTCAGCCTTTAGGCTGCAAAGTAATTTTATTAAATACAAATACAAATACAAATACAAATAAGAATAAAACGAATATCACATTTGTACAGGTATTTATTTATAAGGTTCCATGTTGAGGCTATCTTTAAAACAGGAAAGGGTCGGAATGGGCGAGGAATGACCCATCGTTTTTCAAACCGGTCATTCGCCGCCCATTTTCCAACCATTCTCCGGTCATTCTCCGTCCATTCCCCGACCATTCCGTTCCCTTCCTCTATTCTCCGTTCCCTGTTTTATAAGTACCTGTTTCACAACGTTCTGAAGCGAAATTCATCCATTAAGGAAGTTAATTTCCAATGGTTTCAGTCCAAACTGAAAATATGCGATTCTTACTAACATTTTGTATCAGCCTCCTATTTGTCGTTTTTATCGATTCGGTTATGAAAACAAGTCATTTGATAGCTAAAAGCCTGATCTTTTTGAATGTGCGAAAATAGTCTGAATACTTTACGTACAATAGCGTCTTGAAGTTTTATTACCTTTTTACTCCCCCTGTAGTAAGTTGATAGTTATCTGTTTTTTATTACATACATTATCTTTTTACATGTTTATCTGCAACATCAACCTCGTCGTAGTTAAATTTCCTATGAGTAAATTAATTTATGTATAATTGGGTTTGGGTAACGCAAACTATGGGTTGCAGCACTATGTTTTTCGGTACTGTTTGGGTATTCAAACGTTCAGCTATTAGTATTAGCTAACGATTTTGTTTCTTTCAGTTGGAACAACTTCTTTCCGAGCACCGTGGATTACAAGATAACTTATCTGAGGTATTTTAAACTATTAGACAATGATATTGTGCTCAAACTCATAGACGGTCGAGAGAATGGAAATATCGTTTCAATTTTCTGGATGTTTTTCTACTTCCAGGCAAAAGAACGGTATCGTCAAGGAAGTGGAGGTGTTACAGGCCTTACCAGATCATTAGCCCAGGTTAGTAGAAATTCTTCCATATAAATTGTTGAAAGTCATAGTAGTCGATACTCAGTAACGTAGCCAGCCTGCCGATTTGTCCCGTTATGCTAATATTTTGGTGTTCACTGACTGTGAAAACAATAGATTTCTAAAGACATGAATAATTATAATAACTCGAAATTTACATACCGGGACAAAATCGTCAGGCTGGCTACGCCACTGTTAATCGCTGTATTCTATAGTATTTGATTGTAAAGGCGTCATAAATCGTAATAATTAATTATCTGGTATTCAAAACCGCACTGAAAACTTTGGATTACAAAGATTTATTAAAACTTATATAGATCTTTGTGTCTGCACATTGCGGAGCACTTATATCATCTTAAGGTGATCTTGCCTGCCTTAGGGAGCAAGATCAAGAGAGTTGTATGTTTCGTATGGGGTCAAAACACACGATAAAACTACTAGAGCAATAGGAAACGAAAAATCAAGAAAAATTGTAATCCTGGTTGCGGGCTGAAATAAAGGAAGCTTGATCTGACAAAGAAATATCAATGAGTCAAATTTATTTATGGTCATTACCTCTTGAGACCTTTTTTCATTTTCAAGTATAATTGTGCAGAAATATTATTTTTTGGAAAAGATAGGTGAAACAAAATGACCCATGCAAATTTTTTTCCAAAATTCACTAATTAGGCTAATTATCCAATATGGCGGCCGCTAATTAACACATAATTTCTCGGCAACTTATACATGATATCTGAAGAAACAGTAATCAGAATAAGATAAATGATATATTTTTGAAAAGCTTACAACACATCTATCATTTCAAACTGTTCAATTTTTTTATCATTTGAAACTGTTCAATAATGATTGCCACTTTCTCCGAGTACTTTTTAGAAAAATTGGCCTATAATTCATTAAGGGTGAACAGTTTTAATTGGACAGTTTCATGTGAAAGAGGATAATACAATTAGTAAAAATGCTAAATATCAAGCCTCTGCAGTGAATATTTACAAAATAGGAAAAGTTGAAAAGGTAAACTTTTTGCATAATGAGCAGTTGACATCTCGGATGGTGCACATTATTTTTTTGTAAATTATGAAACTTAGGCTAATTTCTCTATCCAGTGAATAATTAAAATTGTTTATTTGGTTTAGCTGGGTTGGCCTTTTTGTTGACTATTTTTGTATCTCTGGTTAATGATTAATTGTTATCCTGATTTACCTTTTCCAAATATTTGAATTTGCTCAGTGTGATAGGTGTGAGCATTTTTCAACTTACATTAAATGGCAAAATTGTGACTAGCCATAATGAAATAATTTGGCAATTATTGCAGATCTCTGAAGAGTTAGAATCTGTGAAAGCTCAAATGGATGAAAGAGGAACAAACATGACTGATTCAGGTAGATTGCAGTATTTTATACGCACATTTGATTTTTTTGAACACTCGACAACCTGCATTATCGTATACCGACCAAACTATATTGGGTGTTTAAAGAAGTTTAGGTAAAAATCTTTTAGCTGTACCCAAACGCATCGTTGAGAAAACCTGTTGGCATGTGGGAGTAGTTTGTGTTACACGACCCCTTTTTATGTTGTTATATTATATGTACGTATCTCTTCAACCGGGTCGTCGGGGGCGTATGGGGGACGGCTCGATATTTACAACATTACTATACAATGACGAGTTAGTTGTAGTTCCTTGTATCTTTATTTCTTTTGTAATTTGTGCGCCCCAGACCAAGTCAACAACTCAACTGAATAACCCTGTCGTCCGTGCAATCATATGGTTTACAACCATAGTGCCTTATTGTGTATTGTTCATTGTGCGTTGTGCATTATGCGAAGTGTCACTGTTTGCGTTTGTTAATCCCATGTGCACACCTGGTTTCGACTAGTGCATATCTCAAATATCCCATGTATTACATATCTCCGTCTTCCAGTTAAAAACCGAAGGTTTTCATAGTAATTAAAGCTGGCATAATAACCTTGTTTTGGTTCCTTTTCATATAAATATTTTTCATGGTGTAGACATAATTATAAAATAACATGTATGTAATGCGTGTTCTGATTGGTCGAAGCCCGTGTTTGGATCAAGCCATCCAAACACGGAAATTTAAAGTTTTAAAAAATTTAAATTTAAATTCAGGCCTTGTCGTTGTTATTTTATAAAACAATTACTTAATGGTTTCCGTGTTTGAATGCATGGCCGCGCCTAATTCAAACACGCGGGATGTTGCGAGAGTTAAGACAAAATCCAAAGGCAAGCTTATTTTAAATGCACAATTATTTCATATTTCCTTTCAACTCCTTCGTTTCTGAATCTTCTAAGGCGTCCGATGTTTGTTGCTAGTCGTTCTCTTCTCATTTGGAGTGACAGATGCCCCAGTGTCACATAAAAGAGATGACGGTATATGCTATTTAAGCTTACTTGGACACAAATCTTTTGGGGAACTATCCCTTGCCGTTTAAAGAAAAACTGGATTTCTTTGGTATTTTTGAAGATTAACGAATTGAAGTTAATATTTGCGTGCGTGAGGATGGCATAAAACGTAAATGGCATTTAATAAAGTTAGTGTCTTTGAATCTTTTTCCCCCCGCATAGTGCTCAAGCATTGAAGTTATAAGAAGTAGACGATAGAGTATACAATACCGAGTTTATTTACTCATTGCTCTCCCCAAACAGACGTGGATCATCCGGAACATTGTCACCATGAACGCGCGATTCTGTTTTGTTTAACAAATTCGTCTACATAGTTCGTTTAGTTGCTGAATGGACAGTTATAACGTGTCGAAACTATGGGTGGTCCAGACTAGATAAATCCTATTATAGGGAAACCCTATTATAAGTAACTTCAACCTGAGAAATTCTCACACTAATTTGGCTCTTCCAAGTCCTAAAGGAGAGTTTCTTAGAAAAAGTTTCAAGTATATAGTGCTGTTTGTCTCTGGAATAATTCTTAATTTATGCTTCCTCTGGCTCACTCCATTGCAAATTTCTGTGCCATTCACATTGTATTGTTTATATTGTACAGACTATATTTAAAATATTCTTTTTTTTTCTTATATAACTTTTGTATTTTTAATACTGACGCCTCCCGTGGAAATCAACCCTTGGCGTCATTAAATAAATGTTAATAACACTTATAATGCTATATGATTATTTCTATCGTACACTCTCACAAAAAATGCTCTGTGGCATGATGCTCTTGTGGCATGATGATGCGGTAGTTTTTGGGGGTAGCAACTTTTGAATCTAAAAGCTATAGCATTTGAATAAATTTCAATGCTAACTGTCCCATAGACTTGAGTTTGCTAAAGGTTTTTGCTACTCTCGCGCGCATCTCACTTTAAGGAACTAATTTTTCAGAGAGTATCCTGTTATCCGCCCTGATATTAGCCCAGAAACACACGCCATCCGGAATAAGATTTATTAATAAGGAATGTGTTCAGGGTTTATGGTATTCACTTTCATTTTTCAAGGACCACTAGTTCGCATTAAACAAGCACTGATCCGTCTAAAATCCGATGTGTCTCAAATGGAACTACGAATTGGTGTGGTAAGTGGTGCCTTTTTTAAAAGGACACTATATAGGCGTTTTTATATATAGCGTATAATCTTCATGTGTCTAGTGGTACTAATTTATAAGGCTATGAAATATTTTATAGTGTGAAGTAATATTTTGAAATGCTGTCACCTTTCCTCAAATTTTTTCATCATAGTAATTTTAAAAATCTCTAAAATTATCAACGATGAAATTTAGATGTCGGATAATTAGTGCAACTCTTGTTTTATTGTTTTTAAAGGTAGAGCAATCCTTAACAAACGCTCGCCTCCGCGATAAGAATGCTCTCCATGAAAACATGCAAGGCACATCCACAGAATCCAATTTTGAGGATTATAAAGTATTTTAATTATTAGCGTTGTTTCCATTTAAGACTATAATTAGACTTGCGATCAAGACTACAATTATCTGCTATATAAACTATAATCCAGTTGTTAAATATGTATTTCTAACTATTTAATGTGGTAACATTTGTTTATCGATTACACTTTTACTTACGTGGCGTGTAAGTGTCTTTTTTGTTATAAGTGGAATGCTAGAGAACTTATTCGGGACGTGCAGTTAATTCTTATCCCGAACTGCATGTTATACGTTTTTTTATATATTTATACACGTATAGTCTAATACGTATCATTGCAAAGAAAGCTTTTCGATGTTTTGGGGTATCACTATAATACTGCTTTTTAGTATAATTACAAAGGTGATTATTGAAAATTCTGGCCTCCGATTAGTCGAGCGACCTCTTTTCAAAATGGCGGCGGAAATGACAGATAATGTGAGTCTAATGTGCCAGAATAATTTTCTTCAGGTATAATAATGGCCATAGCTCTTTTCTCCAGCCGTTCCAAATCGTTTTTCAAGTATTGAGGTAGCGCATTGTAAAAAACCGGGATGGTATAGTACATGACTGATCTAATGTGTGATATGTAGAAGGAGGCCAAGTCTTTACATGGAACACTTGCGCGTTTAAGGTGCTTAAAAAAATAGAGTCTTTTATTCACTTTTTTGACGACTTCCTCTATGTGAGGTTTCCATGTTAAAGTATTATTAATCGTAAGACCCAAGAGTTTGATTTTATTAACAACTTCTAACTCTTTTTCATTGATTACAATTGGATCGAAAGGTCTCGGCACAGCGTTGAACGAGATTCGTAGAGATCCTTACATTTTTCCGGATTAAGTTGCATTCTATTTGCATTGGAATGCCACGTAATCACATTATCTGTAATGTTTTGGGCGTTACCGATGGAATCCTTCGTAGCAATTTCTGATACTGTCAAATCATCAATGTTTCCCTAAAGATCTGTTTGGGTTACTGTTTGGTCGTTTATGAGTAAAATGAATAACGAAGGACCTAATTTAGTTCCTTGGGGCACACCCGACGGAACTGGGCCCCATTCTGAATAACAGGTATCTGCTAACTTTACTCGTTGATATCTGTTTGTCAGAAAATCTGATATCCAATTGATGACGCTATATGGTAATTCTAACTTTGATAGTTTTTGGATCAAAATTGAATGATCGATAAGATCAAATGCATTTCGGTAATCGAAGAGGATTGTTCTTACAACGGGGCCATTACCGTCAGTGGTGGTGGACCAGCGATGGATCATCCTGATTAATGCAATAGTAGTGAAACTTCTAGGAACCGCACCATACTGATTTGGGTCGATGACTTTCAAGATTGCTGGTTTCACATAATCAACGACAATAAATTCCTCAGCGACTTTACAGATACTGGCGATACCTGGAAGTGAAATAGGTCTTAAATCTTTCTTTGGATCTTTTACAATTTTTGTCTTCGGCAAAGGTGTAATATTGGCCATTTTGCAAGCGGTAGGTAGACGTTGCTCTCGTTATGAGGTGTTGAGAATAATTTAAATTTGAAGGGCTAGGATATATATATATGAATAGTCCTTTAATACCTAATTAGGTAACTTATCGGGTCCACATGCTCTATTTGTTGGGAGTTTCGATAAAGCTTTTTGCACTCTTATTTCTAATACGTTTAGAAAGGTTGCCATTTCTTCCAACGGCAACGGAAATTTTGGTAACGGTTTTCTAGTCTGTATTCCTCGAGAGGCTCTAGAAATGTTTTATTAATTTCATTTGCTTGATCTCTTGGTGTAAGGTTAGAAAACGTTTCAACATTGGCTAAACTTATTGGTTTCCGTTTGGTAACAAGGTTAGAGATAATTTCAGAGAGGTTAGAGATAATTTTAACGTTTAATTTCAGACTATATTGGTACCTGACACGCCTAATCTATAGAACATATAGATTTTCTAACTTATCGTGTCGTACATGTCAAGTTGTTCATAATCGTGCAGAGTTTAAAAATATGGAACGTTTTTAGGCAAAGCCACAAGAGTCACAAGGGAATAACAGTTATTTTGCGCGGCCCAGACAACGTAATAAAAGGCAATAAAATTTTGTTGCGATCCCTTTCTATCCAGTTATAAAAAACTCGTTTTAGACCTTAACCCCTGTGAAATATCGATTTGTTATCGCTACATGTACAGTGTAGTAATATCATTTGATTCACGATCAGATTTGAGAATTCCAAAATATTCAGTACTTTCGGGAGTAGAAATATTTTCGTAACATATTCAAGCAAGTACTATGATTTAAAACTAGGATACATTCCCACAGAGCTACGTGCACGACGATCTTAGAAAGTTAGTGAAGCTATATACCGTTTCCCCGAGTTGTGAAGTATAAAATTTGTGACATGCCACAGGTCCAGTGTTATAACATCTCATGCAAGCAAATTCCATGTTCGCGTTCCGTATGTAAGCAAGCAAGCGTTCAGTTCTCCAAGCTGGCAACTTTTGTGCGAATAAATTAATCCGAACGTTATTAAACGTTTGTCAAATAAGTGCTTGCTATTCTACGGATTCAGCGCCTTTAACCAATGGAAAACTGTACTTTAGCGTTTGTTTCGTTCAGTAATCAGACTGCGTTTGTTTAACTCCTTCGGTGAATGTTTAACTATTACCACATAATTAGACCATCAGCAAATAGTTGTTAAAGGCCGTTCTCTTTCAAGCGAGAGGGGCGAACAGGGCTTGCACGGGAATCCAACCTGTAACCTCTCGCACCCTAAGGCCCGTTTTAGACGTCGAACTTTTCATGTGCCGAATCGAATGCAAATGAACTTAAACAAAGACTTTAGCTCATTAACATTAGGTTCGGCACATGAAAAGTTCGACGTCTAAAACAGGCCAGCGAGAGTCATACCACTAGACCACAGCAAGCCAAGAGCAGAACACGGGAAGAGTTCTTTTTCGCATATCATCGCTAACAATAAATACGATGTATAGCATGGAAAAATATAAAAATTCATGTCATATTACAAGGCAAGTTGCTCTGAGTAAAAAAAGACTTGTAGGAATCTTGAATCACTATATAGTTACCAAGAACAGACCAATCCATGGGTTTGAATGGTAGAAAATAGACGATTTTTGTAAACACGATAATAAACTGGGTTTTACATCTAGAGTCTAGAACGACGGAATTGGTTTTATTCAGTTTTAAACATTTTTACTTCGGAGCTGAACTATGGGGCTACACAAGAAGTTTCATTATTTACCATGCCCAAGTTTAAGGGGTCGGTACGTTACCTATAATTATGAACAAGCTTTGCTATTGGTTGATGATAACAATAGAACACAATAAAACACAATGAATTATTATAGAAATTGACAAGATGGCGCTCGGCCGTGTAGTTATGAGCTCTGTGATTTTATACTTTATTCTCAATTCTCTATCGCTATTTATCAAAGAATCGAGATGCTTACAATCTGAAAATGAGTTCAGCTTGACGGGAACAGAAAGAGCGAGGCTGTGCTCGATTTATTTACGAAGAAACGTTAACTTTAACATCTTGCAGGGGAAGACTAAGCCGAAGAGAAAGGGCATCGGTAATAGACTAAATTATTATCCTAACTCTATAAAGACGTTCAGATTAATATGTGTGTGCGGAGACGTTAAACTTAATCCCGGCCCAAGCTAAACGACCTAAGCAAGGGGACGGTCATGAACCTGGAGGCAGATGGAAATACCCGTGTGTTGAGTGTGCGAAGCCGGTCAAGAAAAACCAAGACGGGATTTTATGTGCCGCTTGTTCTCGGTGGTTTCATGCTAAGTGTGCAGGAATATCAAAAGAAATGTTTGACTCATACTATTTAAAACATCCGGATGATGATTGGGAATGTTGTAACTGTTCTATAACAAACCCATCGGATTCTTTCTTCGAAGATGAATCTGAAACTCAACAAGAAATAAATAATGTTATAAGTAATCGGCACCAAATTGAAAGAAACCCCATCTCCCTTGAGGAAGGTACGACGTCTTATGGCTCAATGGATAATAACAATGACCAATCAATTGAGTCTCAACTTATTCAAATTAGAAAGCAAAATTTGAATAATTTCTTAGTCACACACCTAAACATAAACAGTCTGCAGAATAAATTTGACGACGAAAATCCTGAACAGTAAGATTCGATCAAGTGTTATATTTATTTCAGAGACAAAGATTGATAAGTCGTACCCTGACAGTCAATTCAACTTATCGGGATACGACATGTATCGTCGAGATCGTGTCAAAGGAGGCGGCGGGCTAATAGTATATGTTTCATCGACACTTCCAAACAGGAAACTAAAAATTCCGATTGTATATAAGACCTGTGAAGTCATTGCAATTGAGACTAAACTAGAACACACAAATATAACACTTGTCGGGATATACAGACCTCCTAACGGCAGAGTCGAAATGCATCTCTGGGCGCCAAGTATTTAGAAAAAGTCGAGGATGAACTTAACGACATATGTATGTGGCTGTCAATGCAAAAACAAACGTTTGTCATACTTGGAGATCTTAACTTAGATCGTTTAAAACCAGAGACTAGAGAAGGAAAAATTCTAAAAGACCTCGAAGAAATCCATAGCTTGGAGTGCATGATTATTACACCCACCAGAATAACTGAAACATCTGCAACACTGTTAGATGTTATATTAACCAATAAACCGAACATATTTACAGAATGTGGAACAAATGAACCAGCCATAAGCGATCATCAATTAATATACGGTTTCATGAGTGCTGTTGTCCATAAACATAAACCAAAAGTTATATCATTTAGAAGTACTAAGAATCTGAACACAAGAAAGTTTAATGAAGATCTAAGCAATGCTCCCTGGCATGTAGGTGAAGCATTTGACACAGCCAACGATCATTATACATACTGGAAAATGTTGCTAGAAAGTGTTATGAATGAACATTTACCTGTTAAAAAGATGAGAGTTAGAGATAGGGATATTCCGTATATGAATCCAACGTGGAAAAAGGCGATTAGATTAAAGCGTAAATATGCCAAGCAATTTGCTAGAAACCGAACACCTGAGAATTGGGAACTAAAAAGAAGCTGGAGGAACATTGCAACAAACGAACGACGAAAGGCCATCAAAGCATATTGGCAGGATAAGGCCGACAAA